ACTTTTCTATTTGACTTCAGAGAAAAAGATTATTGTTACCTTTTCTTTAAATTTCACACCTTTTAGCACTTTCAGTGTGGTAGTCATCGTCTTGGGGAGTTTCTTATGATGACCATTATATAAGAAGGCATTAGAGGAGACAGACCAAACTGGAGTATAAAAATGTCAAAGTTGCATCTGTGGAGAATGAAAATGTCAAAGTTGCATCTGCGGGTTTAACAGAATGCTGTTAAGAGAATACTTAAAAATACTGGAATTTATAATGGTTTCAGTAGTCTAGCAACAGGGAGATTTTAGCCTGAGGAGAAGCTCAAAGATGGACGCAGGTTTGTGGTTCTTTGGCAGGAACAAGGAGCATTGAACGAAGAAATGGCCAAAAACCCTATTGTTCATATTTTTTTTCTAGTAAATATCTGACTTTTGTTCTCTCCAACAGAGAAAGCTTTTTTCTTTTCTTTTTTTTTTTAATACCAGCATGCTATATTTTTACATACTACATGATATTAAAATAGATTTAGTACTGCAGTTTCATATCTGGGTTGTAGGAAAGGATGACTGTCAATCTAGTTAGTGTGATTTTGTCACTAATACTTCACATATGATTAAAACTTGAAAAACTTTTTTTTTGTTATTCTGGTAGGATCTTATTCAATTGTCACATTATTTTTCCAGGAAACGATGCCACCACCATCACACACTGCTTTTTCTGGCCATCATTTACCATTTGTGGGTTTCACATACACAAGTAGCTGGTAAGTAAGAGCTCCAAAATTCTCGGGGAGGTAGTTATGTAATAGCCTAAATTTCTGCCTCAGAAACCAGCTCCAAACAGATACTGAGGAATGCAGTTCACTGAGGAGATTATTGGGCCATAATCTAAAATGCTTCCTGCTGTCTGAGGTGTCAGCTCCTGTGTCCAGAGGAGTTTTATTGAGAATGGCGGTTCTCAACCAATATATGAAGTTAACTGCATATAAGACCTAAGACAAAGATGAGTCCAGGTGTGTGGACCCAGAGAAAACTTAGCGTAGAAGACTTTAACAACTCCGTTCCTTCCAGTCCTTTGGCACCCTTGTAAAACTGAATGGAGATCTTGAAAAATGGCTTTTCCTGATACTGTGCAGTTGTACTGCTAAATTTAAAAAAAGTCCATTTATTAGGTAAAAAATACAGCTCTTGAAAAGCCATTTTGAAAGGCCTTATTTCTGCAAACATGTGGACTTAAAGCTGGTCACGTGAGGTGTCCTGCAGCCCTCAAAAGGATTATTTGCACGTCTATCTGTATGTAGACGCTAGTATCCACAGATGCAAGACCTCAGTGTTTCAGTATGTAGTTGCACACAGTTCAGTATCTTCATAAAATCCCTGTTTAAAATGTGAAATGAATGCAGATTTTTGTAGAACAAGTATAACACAAGTAAATTAATGCTACAGTCACTTCATTATGGAGTTGTTAGGAGCTGAGTGATATAGACTAGTTTTCGTGTAATAACTTTACTTCATTTGCTTCGGTATCTTTGAAGTATTTGGCAAAACTGAGGAATTATTTTAAAATAACTTGTTGTAATCTTATTAGCCACCAGAAGATTGGAATTTTTTTTTGTTCTGGCTGACATAGACCATCCTGAATGCTTTTTTTTAATTAGGAGGCCTTCTGTGTAATAGTAAAGAAGATATTGAGAAGATAATCATGCTAAGTAAAATTTAATTCTGTTTCTGAGCTGAGTGCATACTAACAAAGTATTGTTTTACTGATAATTATTTATATATTAAAACAACAACTGTTTTTTTAAACTTGTAAATGCAGCCTTTTTGTGAAGTTTAATACTGTTTAATTTTCTTTCCAGTGTGCTTTCAGACCGCAGCTGTCTAAGACTGACAGCTGGACCACCCTCCATGGACGTTGATGCCAGCATCCAGAGAACTTTGGAGGATAGCTTAGCAACAGAAGCTTATGAGAGGAGAATAAGACGTCTAGAACAGGAAAAGCTTGAACTCAGTAGAAAACTGCAAGGTAAAGGCATTAACAAGACCATTTAGTCACCACCTTAACTTAGCAGTTTTGTTGAGGTATGATTTACTATTAAAAAGAACAAATATGCTTTCTGGAATGTTTTTTGATGGGAAAAAAATATTTAGATTGTTTCTGTTGACAATTTTTACAGACTTTTTATCTAGGATATTCTGTGTATACTTCCTATTACCTTTGTCTACACCATGGCTTCATTACTATGCTCTCTAGGATTTAATTTGTTCAACTAGCAGTCACTAAAAATCCACTAGTATTTAGCAATTAGCATTTTGTAGAATCTTAATTTCACAGTAGGTCTTTCTGAATGATTCCATTAATGTCAATGGTACTGCTGACATGTATAGCGTGTTGTTGTTAACTGAATTGAGACTTGGTTTTCCTGAGGACAGGGAAAGGTTTTAATATAGAAATGACCATGTAAGCAACCACAATGCTCAGTTGCTCAAAGGTGTTTGTTGCTCTCCATGATTTGGAAAAAATACTGATTTTTTCATTAGATCCTTAATGATATTAGCAATATTCTTCATAACTTATTTTTCTACCTCAGTGCTTGCATGTTTTAATGCTTTATGTCTGCAGATTAATTTACTATGCTTCAGTGGCTTATTTGGCACTTACAGATTTATCTGTAATATCTTTTGGACCTTCTGAGATGTCAAACATGTAGTTTGTCCCTCTTTCTTTTTCTAGAGTCCACCCAGACAGTCCAGGCTCTACAGTATTCAACAGTGGATGGCCCAATAACAGCAAGCAAAGATTTAGAAATTAAAAGCTTAAAGGAAGAAATTGAAAAGTTGAAGAAACAGGTGACAGGTAAGTTATTAATGTAAAAGGCGCAAGAGGAAATGGTTTGATAAGACCTTTTCCTAATGTAGCACTAATTTTGCTTCACTTTCTAAAGAGCTTTTCAGCCTTGTTTTACTTACTATTATACCCTTTGCTCTTCAGTGATAGTTCTTGAGGAAAATATTTTCTTTCTCAGCATTTCCTACAAATTCAGCTTAATATTCAGTAATCCGAGCATATTAATGCTGTTTTGTAAAGGAGAATTTCAGTGACTGCTGTTATGATTATTAGTGGTAAAATTCCACTCGTTTTAAATCACACTGATTTCAGTGATTGTGAATCAGGATCTACCTGAGCATCTGTGAAACCATGACCCAATTTTCTCTGTGCAGCATTTATTTTTCTTTTACAGTATGCTGCCACCAGAATGGCTTTGGGTGTTACTGGCTCCCTGTCTCTCCTGCTGTCAGTTGTTTTTGCTCCTCCTCACCTTCTGCGCTTTTTGGACTCTCTACTGAAGGATTCTCTCACTTAAAAAAGGAAACAACTATGCAGTTAAATAGGACTTAGTCAACTCATGGAGTAATCACTAAGGCAGCACAAGGTGGGCAATAGGAGCACACCAGAAGAGATGAGAGGGGGAAGAAACACCTCTCAGCTCTAGTATCAGTGAGCTTTTGGAAGTGAACTTCCTTTCCTTTCCATTCCATTCATTTCCTTCTGAGAATTCTTGAAGATTTTATCATGCCCAAAAATGCAAGTATCAAGTATCTCAGTGCTTTAATTATGAACTGTGGACAGCAACACAGAGATTATGTACTGCTGATACCACACTGCCTCATAAAGTTCATGCTACAGATGCGCAGTTGGAGAGTTTCTGTGTCGTGATGCAGAATTTTGTGTCTTTACCACGAGCAGTACTGCAGCGCGTGCCCAAGGCTTACATGGCTCGGTGAGGATTGCCGGCGCAGGCCACGCGCTGCCCTGCGTTGGCACAGAGAGTGCTGTGAAGCTTCACTGCAGCACACGTCCCACCATGTGCTGCTGCAATGAGGAGCAAGAGGACGTGATCAGAACCCTCTGTCCTGTAGCAATCCTCACCTCTGCTTTGGCTTTTGGGGACACTGGAAAGCAGCATATATTAGAACAGCTTTTGGATGGGTCAAGCTCGTTGCAGAAAAGCAGTGGGATCAGCTTTAAAAAATAGTTGTATTATTGACTTACTCAACGGCATCTTAGATTTTAAGATTTTAGCTCATTTTTGTGAATGTTACTCTCTTTGATAATAAAAAATACGAAACTGCTGCGGGAAAATTCTCCAGTGCAACTGGTACCCCTTTTCAGATTTAAGAGAACATTACCTGCCTTTGTAAGGCAGGTAATGTTGAGAAGGTTTTCCTTTAAGTGGTCATTAAGAGTGTGCTGTTCCACTGTTTATGCGCAGGACGTATCATGTCTGTTTGCTTATTCCTCACAATGTTTGTGCCAGAAGCGAAAAATGTAATCAAATTAAGAAGGAGGTGGAGTCACCCCGTCTATCTACAGGCATTGCATAGCTGTCTCAGTGTCTTCTTGAACGCCTTATCTGGTCCAGCAGTGCAACCATTAAATGGCAGTCTTTTCTTGTCCACTACTTTAGTTTTAAATCTATATCAGAAAAAAAAAAAAAAAAGCACCAACCAGATGCTCATATCTGAATGCTCCCAAATTTAGAGGAGCTAATCCCAAACTTCTTTGATGGTCTTTGTATCTAAATTTCCAATCTAAGTTTGATGAACTTTACAAAGGTTCAGTTCAGATACAGTGCTAAACTTTACGCCTTAGGGTCATCTCCTGGGTAATTAATGTAATGTAATAATATCCTACAATGAAAGCTTGCATATTTTAGCTAAAATGTTAGCAATCGCTAGGATGATTAGGTGGATATTAAAATTTACTGCTCATCTGTCACAACCAGCTTTTTGGTCTTTCACTTGTTTTATTGCCTCTTGTGAATCTGTAAGAGTAAACACCTGTTTAGAAAGGTAATAAAAATGAACAAGAAATTCTGTCAAATTCAAGAGCATCTCCAGTGGGACCTTAGAAAAATAGAACATTTTCTGTCTATCTGGTTTTGCAGGAAATTACAAGCTAGCATATGCTTTCAATTTTTGAGGTCAAAGATATAATTTCTGTTCTCTGAGTTACACTGGAGAAAACTTTGAGGAATCTTTAATATTGCCAAATATGTAAAGGACAGCAATAGAGAAAGAAAATAAAGCTGTGGAACGAAGTAGTTCATGCACAGAAGAAATTTATCTTGGCTCAGCAGAGCAACATATAAACTTACTTATTTGCTGGTGACTTCAGGGTAGACTACATGAGACAGGCAGTGAATGTTTTCTGGCATTGAGCTATATCTGTGTTTGGAATACATTCTTTTAAAGCTTTAAGCAAGGGTCAATGAATTAAAACAGCAGTGAATATTTATATGGTGCAAGTAAATGGTTATTCATTTGCTTATAAAATTCTTGTATTCCAGAAATTACAGCTCTGAAGAATGTGTATATTTTTGTATTTGGTTTCTCTAAGAGCCAAGCCTAGGGTTGCATTTATGACAACATATCCAAAGCTCCTAATAAGAGTGTGGATGGTTTCGTGTATAGAGAAATGTATATGGTCTGAAGTCCTGCTCCAGCTGAAAACAAAGGCAAAACATCTGATAGCTTCAGAGAATAAGAATTAACCTACCATCATATGTAGCCTGCTTTTAAAGCACATTTTAAAGTAAGGACTAGAAAGAAAAAGCTTTTTTTTTTTTTTTCTTCCCTCAATTTTCTTTTATACTTCAGGGATTTCAGCTTTTGATGTTGTGTATTATTTGGGTGTAATTTTATGACATTAGGTAGTTGTGTTTCAGAAATGTACTTTAATTTTGTAGCTGATTGACAGATTGTAAGAAACTGTAGGAATTTTTCTGTATTTACAGTAGTAAAAAAGCAGGCCACATAAACAGAAATTGTTACTAGAAATAAGTAAAATCATCTGAATTTAATTTTAACTGTACAAACAGGAGAAGACTTGCCAGCTCTTGAGTGACCCATGACTTTTACTGTTTATTTTCTGGGGAGATGAGGAAGGGGGGCTGATTTCAACTGCGATATATTGTAGTCAAAGATGCACTGCACGTTCAGCAACGTAGTGAGCAGTGTGTTGCTTTCTATAGCGTCAGGCCACCTGGAACAGCAGCTCGAGGAGGCCAGCAGTGCGCGGCGCGAGCTGGACGACGCTTCCCGCCAAATAAAGGCTCTTGAGAAACAGGTCAGAACGCTGAAGCAAGAGCGGGAAGACCTGAATAAGGTAAAAGCTTCTCGGCAGCAGCCTTTCTAAGCCCCAAAGACTAGTTCACTTTTCTTCACTGTGCTTGCAACAGCTATTTTGGTTATGGATTTAATGAGTAGATAACAAACATGTAATCTCTTCCACTTTCTAACCTTTGTTTTCTTTTTTTTTAAAAAAAAGTCATAGACTTTACTTAAAGCATCATTTGTGCAATCATGAAATCGTCATAGGTGGCTGATTCCAGATGTAGAACAGCTTCATGATGCAAATTGTATTTTGACTGAAAGAATATTTTTATGGCCTCTGACAAGGGTGATAATCGCAGTGGTTTAAAGATGGAACAGAGAAGAACTGTTCTTCCTGCGTACAACTATTATCTTCTGAAGTGTGAGCAAGGGTGGCTTGGAAAAGATGTTTAGAATGTGATATTAAGGAGATGCTGCATGGCATGGAAGGGTTTCCAGAGAGATATGTGAAAAGTTGCCCAAATATGAAGACTGAAAAGTATTTCAAAATAATCCTAGTATGATTTTTTTTCTTTATCTCTTTCCCCTGAATTCCTTGTTTTCTTGCTTTTCTCTCACTCTGTTTTATAGGCTACCTTGTATTCGTGGCTTAATCAACTCCAAAATGTAATCGGGACAAAATGTTTCTCATCCTGCTAAAAATTAGCCTAGTGTGTTAGAGCCTGCTTTAACTGACCTACCAGCTGTATATAACATTGCTTCTTTTAATCCATAAAACTCTTAAAACCTTGCCTAAGAAAGAATATCCCTTTTCTAAAGCAACTTACAGTGATTAGGACCTCTTTTAACAACCTCAGAAGACGCTTCTAAATCTGTACAGATGTCAACAGTGCCAAATGTTAATTCTTCCTGCCACTCTTCATCCTCAGGCCTTCTTGTCCTTGCTGCTTTGTTCAGCTTCACTTTGGCTGAACGTCATTAAACTATTTAAACTCTTGTGGTCCTTCAGTCTTTGTGCAGTGGCAAAGATGGAGAACACAGGAAGCCTTGTCAAGGTTTTACATTATCGACTTATCACAGCCCTTGCTGCCTCATTTCATGTGATCTTTTTTAGAGAAATAGTTCTCATATGTTGCTGGTAATTGCTACGGTGTTTTGTCAGCTGAAACTTTCTGAATATTGATACTATGGTATTTTGTGGGGAAACCAAAACAGCAATGTGCAAGACAGTTCCCAAAAACTTCCAAGGTCCAAGCTTTCAGGAAGCAGCTTTCTGTTTGAATAATGCACAGGCTTATGTTATTGTTTAACAGTCGTGATAAATACTGTTCTTTTTACTTATTTAAGTCATTCTTGAAAAGCTGAGTCAATGACATTTTTAATTACGATAGCAAGATATTTTCTTATTTTAATGTTTGAAAGCCTTTGTATTGAACCTATAATAATGGACCAAAATCAGACTTGGTCTAAGTTAAAGCAATTTTACTGACTTTTTATTAGTTTAAAGCTTTTCATTTTTAAAACTAAAAAGTAGTTAAAACTTTTAAACTGCTTTATTAGTAGTTTAAATCTTAAAACCTTTTTAAAAGGCCTCTTTCCTTTCTGTGTGGAAGCATATAATCTGTATCATAGATGCATTCTTCAAAAGAAATGAATATGTGTTTTCTGTTCACTCTGGAAAAGGCCTTAGATGCACGTCCAAAGACAAAATGGGCCTTTCAGCTTTCTAGGTTTATTACTTAGTTCTTTTTTTAACCTGTAGGAACTGGCAGAGTCTAGTGACAGATTAAAATCCCAAGCCAAAGAGCTGAAAGATGCACACAGCCAGCGGAAATTGGCCATGCAGGAGTTCTCAGAGATGAACGAGCGGCTGACAGACCTGCACTCCCAGAAACAAAAGCTTGCCCGCCAGCTCCGAGATAAGGAGGAAGAAATGGAAGTGGTGATGCAAAAAGTAGAAAATTTGAGGCAAGAGTTACGCAGAACAGAGAGAATAAAAAAAGAAGTAAGTAGAAAGAAGACTGTATAGAATCTATTCAGTAGTAGTTGTATATACGTTTTTCCTACAAAGTAATTTAAATAAAAATTATCTGTAAATTTTTAACTCTTCGATTGTCGCTTCAAACAGTACTCATTTTGTTTTCTGTTCTAAGGATTTGAATGTCTGGTTTAGTACTGAAGATTTGGCTCATATATCAAAAACCATGAACGGGTTTTGATAAATATGAAGTAAGAGTCTTGCCTATTAAAAGTGTATGTACTTTTGTAGCTGGAAGTCCAGGCTGAAGCTGCAGCTGCTGAGGCATCCAAAGACAGGAAATTGCGAGAGAGAAGTGAGCAGTACTCTAAACAGTTGGAAAACGAAGTAGAAGGGCTAAAGGTTAGTCTCTTTTGATATTAACCCCTGCAAGCTTACTACCAAGTAGGACTGGATCTGTTTGTTTTCAGATGTAGGACAAAAAGGTATTGTCTCAGTTTGTCATTTGCGTGACAATGAAAGCTACTGTAAACATGACTCATTATTGTCCAGAAAAATGGTATTTACCTAAGGTGCTTTACAGACCTCTCTACATGGAAGGATTTCTCAATAGAAATGTCTTGCTTTTCTTGATTTCTTACCAATTTGCTTCCATAATTAATTAATTTAACTTCACCTGTTAAAAATGTTTAATTTAGAATGGTTGAGTGTATGAAGATGAGCTTGCATGTTTCTGTAGAGATGTTTTATGCGCTATTTTTCCTTAACATGTAAGCGAAAGTAAAAGTGGATTTCTTGGTAATAGATGTCAACCAATATAACTGCAAAGGAAAAAGATTTTAGGAACAGAAATTCAAGTAAGTCAAGAATGTTGACTGTCATTTTATTCATGAGTTAGCATTGTTGGCAGTATTCTGAAGAAATTAAACTTTCTCAAAAACTGTGCACGTAATGACTTGAATAAAAAGATTTTATAATTTCCACATGAGGAATGCTGTTCATTTACAGCAACATCCAGTTCCTGATGTTTCACCCAGTAGTATGATCCTAAATGTTTTTGTATAAATTGTCAAACCAGGTCTATTCTGGCCTTAATTAAACATGAATTCCAGTTTTATTTTGAGAATTCTCTGGGACATCAGTCAAGATTAAGTTGGCTCAGAAGATGTGTATTTTTTGCAGACATTCTTTTGGTTTGTCTTCTGTTAAGTGAAAAATAAGGAAATAGATTTGTCATGAAATCTGGTTTTATAAAGCTACTGTAGCTGTGAATCGGGGTTGCTATCTGAAAATTAAAATACGCTGCTTATGTTTTCATGTGTCTTCACTGCTAGCAAGGAGTTCGTATGACAGTTCTGCAGATGAATGGGTTTTATTTGCAGTGTTATGGATAAATGACATTCTGGTTTAGGACAGCAGGGCAAGTTTATCAGAAGAGCAAAGGGGACTTGTAGCTTTATACTAATATTGCCCAGTACAGTAAGCACACTTCGGTTCACATGAGGTTTCAGTTATCCTTTCAGTGAAAGCTCGACATGGCTTTTCAGTTGAGTTCAGGAGGCTATCAAAGGAAAAAGGCCAGCATTTAAGAAATGGAAAGATTGTCCCAGTGTGGAGAACAGGGAAGCCCATAAATCATGGCAGGTTAAATGTAAATAGGATATTGCAGGCTTTAAAAAAAAAAAAAAAAGAGGATTTGGAAAGCACTTGGCAAAGGATGCTCAAACTGATTGTATGAAGTCCTTTAAATCAAAAGCTGGAAGCCACCCTTGGAAGCTGGTGGAACTACTTGTTGGCAGAGTAGCCAGGGGCTAGGTTGGTAGTGCCATGACAGAGAAGCTTGGTGTTTTGGTTTCTTTCTTCGCGTCAGACTTTACTGCTGAAGATGTAGGGGAGATAGCCTTGCACATGCTGCACATGGTGTGTCCTTTGTATTAGGAGGTCAGATGATCTGCAGCCCTCTGGAGTAGATATTCAGGAAGTAATAGAGCAGACAGATGAGTTAGATGTGATGTCACCTGGACTGATGACCTTCAGCTGGGAACTCAGTTGTGAACCTGCTGGGCAAGGTGTTCACCCTCTCATTACAAATAGCCCCACTGGCGCGAAGGTGAAGACCGGTGAGCTGGGGGGGTCAAACAGGGCCGTCTGGGAGGGAGGCAGTCTGGCTTCTGAGCATGCTGACCTGCTGGTAGTTGTAAGGATATAGCAGGTGGACGGAGGAGATCTAGTGGCTGCCATGTGTTTTGATTGTTGAAAGTCTTTGAATGGGTTTTGACGCCAAAGATCATTAAAGAAGCTAAATTATTGTGGGATTGCAGGAATCTTTTTATGGATTTGAAGTTTGTAAGGGACAGAGAGCAAAGGAGATGACTTACCAGTTGCTTGTCAGGATGGAGGAGAGCGAGCAGTGGGATTCCCAGGGTCAACGCCAGGGACCATTTTATTTGTCTTTGTTATAACCTAGAGTGGTCATGGATGGTACTGGGCTCCTTGAGGTAGGCAAACACCAAACGGATAGCAAGGGAATCCTGAAGGATCTCAGGGAACTGAGTGGGTAAAAAGGTGGCAGAGAAGCTGCAGTGTAGCTAAAATGTAGGGTTATGCACTGAGTGGGAAAGCAATCTGAACCAGGCCTACACAGTACTGAACTTGGCACTGGAAGCTACAACCCAGAAAAGAGCTCTTGGAGTCGTTGCTGGCAGTTCTCTGGAATCATTGGATCAGTTGGAAGCAGCAGCAGAAAAAGCAAAAAAAAAGCTAGTGGACATTATCAAGAAAGCAGAGAATCATTTTGCTGCTGTATAAAACTTAACTGCACCCACGTGTTCTGCACTATGTGTGGTTTTGTCTCCTATTTTTGGGAAGAGTTCAGTAACATTAGAGAAGTCACAAGGAAGAGCCACTAAAATGATTAAGAAGATGGAGCAATGGCCTTTCAAGGGATGTCTAAAAATGGGGAGGCTTTTCAGGTTGGAGAGGAGGAAGCTGGAAGGAAATTGTGGCTGAGGTTCACCAAACCATGAAGGCGGTGGATAAGATGAATACAGAGCTGTTGTTCACCAAATCCTCCAGTACATTTTTAAGAGCATGTGGACAAGTAGGACACAGCTTTGAAAAAGTGCTTCTCTGCACAGTGGTGAGTGTTCTCCTGCGTCTTACTGCTTCAGGAGGTTATGGCTGTGACAGTAGCAGCAGGTTCATTACCTGTTTACTTTACTAAGCTAAATTGCAAAACTTTGGAATTGTATTCAGACAGCCAAAGTTTTGCCTCAATCCCAGTAGTTTGTATTTCTCAACTGCTGAATTTAGGATTTCAGAGGCATGAAGTCAGTGACAAATGCTGGCTCAAGGATGAAGGTGGAATTTAGATTGCATAGATATGGCCTTAGTTCTGAAATGTGAGGAACATGACCAACATTATATCTGCTTTCTGTTGTTAGGTATCTTCTGAATGTTTGTATGCCAGGATTTCAAAATAAGCATATTCCTCTGGGCTGTTTCTGGACTGTACAGGAAGAATACTGGATACTGTTTTGGGGGAAGTAGGCAATTTTGTGCTAATTTATATGGATGTGTTAATTTTTTAATTAAATCTTTTATAAGCTCATTTCAAGCAAATTTAAAATAAACGCTACATGTACCTGTATTAAGGTAACATATGAAACTGAATTTATGAACTCTATCCTTCCTGTCTCAGCAACAACAATTATTCAATTGAGAGTAAGAATATACTAATCCAAACATTAATGAGAAAGCTTCTGTCTTTCGTAACATGCTGTGCTTGACAAGTATTTATACCATAAAAGCTTCATGCTATTAGTCACCCTCCTAAGAAAGATACTTCATATGTTTACCAAGGTATATTAATATTAGTATCTATGAAGTGCAGTATACAGGCCTTGAAGCAAACCAAAATGCTACTTGTTACAAAGACTAATCTTGTTAAAGCCAAGTCAGAAATCTTCCAAAATGTCAGTGGTGTGTTCAGTTAGAATTAGATTACTTAAATACTAAGTTTTCCCATGCTGTCTGCTCTGTGATTGCAGTATTTAGTCATTATTTTTCAAGTACAAAATTTGATGCCCTTCAGTGCAGCAATTCCACATGGCAGACATTTCAGTGCACACAGCAATATTTACAGCATTGCTGTCATTCTGGACTATTCTGCTTCACAACTGCCTAATGAAGGAGCTGCCGTAATTTGCTGCAGGCGCGAGAGAGCCCAGGGGAAAAGGGAAGGGAGGAATTCCCTGTGGAGTTAGGGCACGGCGCAGCCGCCGCAGTGCCAGGAGATGCCTCGTGTCTCAGCTGCATGCCGTGTCCGCTCGGAGCAGGCGTGTCTGCAAACAGCGATCGGAGGTCGCGCTTGTACCAGTTCAAACATCTGTGTTTGCGGCATCCCTGCCATTCTGCAAGCCACGGTACAGCACCAAACCCCTCTCTCTGCTACTCTACCATCTGTTTGATGTTAACAATGTCCTGCTATAATGGTGGGATACCACTAAACATGTTACATACCTGACAGATGATGTTTCAAAACTCGATTTTTTTACATGCTGTGAAGTCATCTGCACGTAGACAAGTCTGCATGTTGGGCAGCAGCAGACAAGTTTGCTGGTTGACTACCTATGTATGAAAGAAAGTGCTTTAATCTCCCTTCTCCAAGCCATCCCCTCCTTTCTGATTTACTGTTCTGTGTCCTAGGCGGATGACTTTGCCCTTAAATAAGGGGTCAAAACAGAAGTTCGTTTTGACAAGACTGTTAGAGAAAGCGGTGAGGGAGTAGGAACTGTCTAGCTCCTGCACAAGGGGGGCTTGTGATCTCCTGCAAGCCTGAGCAGCAGGGCCAAGGTTTCCCACAGAGGTCAGTGTGGCAGAAATGCAGAGCGTTTGAGCAATCTGCAGTGACATTCAGCTCTTCAAGTTTGTTCCTGCACCAGCAAAAGAAAGCTGCCCAAGCCCACGGTTAGATCAAGGGTGGCTGAGAGGATTGAAACACCTCATGATAAAGAGTATAGGTCTAAATAATTAGATATCTTAGATCCTTGTAAAGCTGTGAGACAGTCACCATAAAGTAGATTTTTCAGTTACTTGTTCTTTCTTAAAACATAGTATTTTTTAATTAAGCAATTTTCTTTATTTCTTTAGACTTCCTTTAAGCACGAAACACATGGAAAATAGTCCAAACCAATTTACACATGTGTTTACATTAAAAGGTATTTCCATACTTGGATTTCAGTGCATGTCATGCCAGCATCTCATTTTGAACCTGATCTTGCTCCTCCTCCATATTATGGCAGCACATTTAGTTTAGTGAGTGCAGCATTTGGTGCAGATATTTGTATCCTGGAACAATATGTTAAGATTCTTGAAATACCAGAGGATCTCACTAAGAGAGCTATGCAGCTGCAAAAAGTGAAGTAATTACTCTTATTGTTTAAAGCTTGTTTTTTCTATTAACCCACTATGATATAAATGGTCGGTTTAAATAAAAGAGGTTAGGCTCCCATCCTGAGTGATGCGAGCCATGTAGTGTTTTTGTACCTGGATTTTGGCCTACACTTAAGTTTCTGCTTTCCTTTATATGGCATTTCCATAAATTATCTGTACTTTGCAGTCCTTATTCTCTGTTCCTGAAAGTCATTGATCCTGTTGCTGTAAACCAGATTTTCTGCATTTCAGGGGAGTCGGAAAGTGGTCTGAGATGTTCAAAGGGATGATCAAATTTACAGTGGCTTGAAAATTATTATTACATTTAAATCACAAAATGATAGAGACTACAGTTCAGTTTTCTGCTCTAACACACTTTCAAAAAATGAGATAAATATTTGTGTTTACCTGAAATATGTAATGGGATATTTCCTAATCATAGACATGTAAATAATGAGCTTTTATTAACTCATCATTAGCTTCTGTTCCAGAATTCTTGGGTGCTAACTTGGAGCTGTTTGTTTTCTAGCAAAAGCAGATCGGTCGCTCACCTGGGATAAGCAGTATAGAACACCAGCAGGAAATCACTAAATTGAAGGCAGACCTGGAAAAGAAGAGTGTTTTCTATGAAGAGGAACTGTCTAAACGAGAAATAATGCATGCTAATGAAATAAAAAATCTGAAGAAAGAACTGCGTGATGCAGAGAGCCAGCAGCTTGCCCTCAAGAAAGAAATCATGATTTTGAAAGACAAGCTAGAAAAAACTAGAAGAGAAAAGTGAGTGTTTTATGGTATTTATCTTAAGTTTGAAATACCTTTTAAAGTTTTCTCGTATGCTTCCAAACACACTATTGCTTCAGAATTATAGCATAGACAGGTGCATTTTGGCTGATTTAATGTTGTGGTTGAATATAAAGTAGCTGAAGTTGGCGCCTTTGTCACCTTTAGTAGCAAAATAAAAAAGAAAACCACAAAGCCTGAACTGAAAGTCAGTTTTGCACCAGGATTCTTGCGCTGGCTGACAACTTCCAATTCAGGGTAAATTGACCCCTGAAGCTCATGCCGAAGAATTAAACAGGTTTTTTGGGACATTTTTTTCTGTTTGGTATTCTCATCTTTGGATGCAAAACTAATGTGTTAGAGATCAACTGTTGCTGGCATTTCTGCCAGCACAGAAACAGTCACTTAACGCGGACTAAGGCTAATCCATGCTGGGTTCTATCCAGTGTTAACAACAGTCGTCAGACTAGTAGGCGTAAACTGCTTTATCTCTTCGGACATGGTCATTTCTCAGAGACCTGATTTTTTTTTCCTCCTACATAGTAGAGTTTATAACTGGCCTTGAGAATGTTCCTTGAGGCATTCATTAATAAAAACAGATATTCCTATTGGATAATGTTGTACTGAAAATAGTAAAAGTCACAGCTTGAATGCATTCATCACTTCCATTCATAAAAAAATTCAAAGTGCTGTATGCACACTAGCATAGATGCTTCTTTTTCTGGACGTAGTAAAAAGGGATATTAGAAAATCCCTAAAGAAGAAACTGTTATTCAAAGCTCAGCCAAGCTGTAGTGAGTCCTTGTCTATAGGTTGTAAATAAAACAAAAACATTTTTCATGGATGAACCATGTCGTCTTAGAATGCAACTATTTGTGCCTTAAACACATTTTCACAGTAGGTTGCTGTTTTTTATTGGCAGTATGTTTTTGTTGTACCACAACTTGATGCTTTTCCTGACCTGTAAGTTATAAATGCAAAAAGGACTACACTGTCCTGTAACATATAAAGATGGTACAGGACTTCCCTTGTCATTTCCGAAGTAGTGTCCCGGAGGGCAGAACGCTATGCGAAGAATCCTTAGTACTTCCTTATGCAGGCTAAACTTATCTTAAAGATCATGCCTCTGCATGGTGATGAGCGGAATCTGGGGAATCTCTTCTGGGTTTTATCAGAACCATTGCCAAATTGTATAACTGCAAAACTTATGTGTCCATCTCCTGTACTAACATGTAGTTTAACAAACTTAATTAGCTTCATAAACTTGGTTTCAGTCAGGTTTCTCCCTGTGAATAGATGATGAATTGGATTCAAATCTAAAATGAATGGTGATTTATGCATATAGTTCCATATGTTTTTCAAGTATGTTGGCATAAGAGAAAATTTTGAAGCATGAATCCAACCAGAATCCAACATTTGGGCCTTAATGGGCGGGTCTTCAGCTACACACGGTGTTGGATGTCCAAGCATAGAGAGTGACCCTTCAACTGGGTCTTGTTAAATAGTGATGCAGGATTTCATAGCAAGCATTAGGACTCCACACAAATGCAAAGTCCACCATTCAAGGTATGAGTATTTATGATTTATTACAGATTGACATCTCTAGAAGTTCAGAGATTAGAAGGGAAGCTTAAATATTAGGAATGGAAGAATTGTTATTGCTCAATGTGTAGTATTTGGTTGTTTTCCATAAATACCATTGATTTTATTGTTGTCTTTTCTCCTTTCGTGCATTGTTTTTAGCTTTTGTAATCAGACATACAAAGCTTTTTGTGAATCTGCCAATAAAGTTGCTCAGTGTAAGGGTTGAAGAGGAAGCACCTGGAGGCTTTGTGCTGAATCCAGTGGAATTAGTGCAACAATAGCGGTGGGGTGGGGTTGAATCAGACACAATTTGGGGAGAGAAAAAAAAAACAAAAACAACCTTAAATCTAAAAGGATCTTTAGTGCCTATGTTTTAAAAAATGACTTTGACATGCTGCTGTAGCTGTCCATTATTAAGGGCTATAATCTAAAGGTAGGAACAGTGTAGATTATTCAAGCAATGGTTGATAAGAGTTTTGTCAAAAAACTGTTCTCCTGTTCTCTGTTTATGCCTTTTTCTCTCTCTCTCTCTTTTTTTTTTTAAATAAATATTCACGGTGGTGGTTTCTACTTAATTTTGGAAAACTCAACAACCAAAATCATCAAGGAAGAGAAACTATCACTCTGTATAAAATGATAGCCCTTTGCCCCTTTGCTAAGGTCTGATATTTCGCATGTTCTTAAAATTGGGAATATAGGAATACACTATTAGACCAGTGATCCACCTAGTGTGATACTCCATTTTAGATTTTTTTTTTTATTTAATATTTTAGGAAAGGTGCAGGAAACTGTGAAATTAATTATGTTTGTAGAAGGTTCTTCTAAGCCTGTCATTTAATGATAGATTTATTAAGTATAGAGCTTTATAAGAAAAGGGTGGGATTTTTGTTTGTTTTGCTTCAGGTCTGCTTTTCTTAGTTTCACAGTAGTAAGATAAAATATTTTTCCTTCTTCTCCAGCTGCAGTAAAGTGCTGGGGGGCAAAGCGGTGTCACAGAGCTGTATTTTTCATTGCTTTCGTGTGGTTTGCTACAATTGCTTTAGTGTTAAAAAGAAATCTGGATCGTGTATGACTCCCTAAACTTCAAGATCAGATAAACAGCTGAATTTTAGATGAGAAAGCTTCAGGGCTCAGATAGGAGGATGCCAGGCTTCAAAGCAAGTGTGTTATTTTGTTCCTGCAGGCTGACCATAGTTCACCTATGGGAGCCGTCACAGCGCTGGGCATTGCTGAGTCGATACTAACCCGTGTGATGGGTTGCGTCCACCTTGTCCTGTTGGAAAGGCGACTCCTTTGTTTGTGTATGATATTATAGTAACCTAACTGGGATTAGTGTCACTTAAGAACATAAAAATATGTTGCTGGTGCTTTCAAGGCTGCATCGAGCCTTTGAGCCTTGAAAGAAGTTTTAGACAAATATAGAACAACAAAACCCACTAAACTAAACCATAGATACATAAAAGCTAAACAAAAGAAGTTAACCAAATGGTTTAAAATTACTTTGCTCTTCTCTCTGAGAAGTTAATTTTGCTCTATGCCTTGCAAACAGAAGCAAGACCTGTTATTAATTCCCCTGGCAGCCAGAGCTTTAATCTCTTTTTGCCTTTTCCCTAGCTGGTTCATCACATGCAAGGAATCCAGTGGTGCAGGGAAGGGCTCGTGGTGGGTTTCAAGCTTGGACCTTGAACAGTGACTATAGTATGTTACTTGGCAGCATGCAGCATTATGTTTCAAAGGAAGCCTGGCAACACACCATTGCTCCATGAGTCTAACATGCCGTACTAGATTTCAAAGAGCGGTCAAAGCTCTAAATGAATTTCAAATCAGGAATGGGAAATTCAAACCAGGATCACTCTTAGCCGAGTTCAGTGCAGCCCCTGACACTTCGCAGCTTTTAAGGGTGCTCCCGCAATCTGACAGTTCTGCATTTCAGGGCACATGTAATTTCTCTGTTGCAAAACATGAATCTCTGCCAAAGCAATTGCAATGCTCAGAGAAAGTTCCCCTGCATTTTATTTTTCACTGAGTTCACCTTTTTATGGGCACTTTGCAAACTATTTAGTTACTGTGCTGTTTACTGCATTCATATTTTGGTACCTGTGGTATTTATAGTCTGGGTTTGTTGAGCTCCAAAGGAGCTGGGTACCAGATACCTGTCACAGTGGATGCAGGATGCCACAAAATCATCTTCCTGAAACTGAAGAGACGGCAACTCTAGAAAGTGGATTTGAGGAGGGAGATACCAGTCTGCAACATTGGAGTGCACATCTGTAACAAAATGACGATTGTTTTGGCAAACAGAGCACCTGTAGTTTGTTTTATTTTTGGATTCCCATGTTCATTGGACAAGAGTAAAATCTGTGTTAAGCAGAATCAGACAAGGTTCTTGTGTTGAATGAAACTGATCAAAGGAGGGAAGGGTGGGTGGAAACAGCTAGTCTGAAACTCCTTTTCAGATGGAGAGATCCATACATTCAAATCTGGTGAGTGTATAGGTTATCCATCTACAACTTAGCCAAACGGTAACTGGAGAAACTGTTCAGATTTCTCCTCTGGCTGAGTTGAACCGCACTCAAGTAACTGCACATTTAAGCTTTTCTCATCAGTGACAGTCCCCAGTGATTTAATTCAACTTCTGTATGTTCTGGTTTCACATGGGGTCATGTTTGCAGGTCATTCTGCATGAAACCTGGAACTGCAGAAAGGTATTAATGTTAAAGTAACATTTTAATGAACTTTCAGACAATTTTCTCTGAACATCTTGCCATGCCATGCTGTATCTGCCCTTCAGATGTAGAGCTTCTTAATGTAAAGAATAAACATTAGCTCAGTGGAGCTTTATTCTTTCAGTAGTGAAGGAAAGATAATTTAGTGAAGGAAAGATAACTGTCTAATGCTAGAATTAACAGACTCTCTTATCATACTAAAATGCATTCTTTACTTATTTTATTTGCTTATTTTAGTAGGCTGAGAGGTTAGCAGTATATTACTTTTTATTTAGCAATATGTTACTTTTCTTTCAAACACTGTATGCATTGATCTTCACATATTTGAGTAGGTATTATGGTGGGTTTTTTTCAGAATAGGAAACCTTTTAATTGTGCTCCCCTTTTGTTTCTTAGCCAAAGTGAAAGGGAGGAATTTGAAACAGAATTTAAACAGAAATATGAACGAGAAAAGATCCTGCTCACGGAAGAAAACAAAAAGCTTTCAAATGAACTTGATAAGGTGAGTATTTATTAGCTGAGTCTTGAGTATACAAGAACACTGTGCTGAGCTATGTTGTGGTCTGTCATAAATCCTAATTGGTAGCAGGATTAATAATATGCAGGGAGTTGTGATTAGTGTTAGATTTAAGTAAAGAATTGCATTAATTCTTTGAACCCATGTACATGCATCTGGATTTGAGAATGTGTGCACATATTTATATATGTGCATGTCTGTGTGTTTGTATGTGTGAGAATACAGTTATATGGTCTTGCAGAGTTTATAAGAGGACCTCTTGACAGTATGTTAAACCAGAAAAAAAAGAGGGCTTGATTGTAGGACCAGAATATAAAAATACATCGTTACTGATGTGATTGCAGAGAATGGATTTGCATGTCAATTACTGTGAAAAAACAGGGCCCCTCATACCTGAAGAGACTAAGTGTTGCTTTGAGATACTAAAAAATCCAAATGATAAGAAGGTTAAATTGCGGATTGTGTTGAACAAGGAATAAGTATGTTTCATGCTTTTGGGTTGTATTTTTGTTGTTTATTTTGACTGGTCATTCAAGTTCACTATGGATTGGCTATATCTTGCTGTACTTGTCTGTCCTTTTTTAAATGCATTAACCTGTTTTAAAAATATGATGAAAGTGTAGTATTCTTTAAGGTAAGTCTGTTTGCATGTCAATGTTCAAATTAAAGTATATTTTCATACCAGTATAAGCATTTGTATAAGCATGGTTCAAGAACAGTAAGAGCCCAGTCACTTTGATAGCTTTTCTGCTTTGACTTGTTCTTTTTTTTTAATTCTCTTTTCTTTTCAATTTGCCTAGCTTTGTGTTTGTCTTGTCAAACGACATTCACTAAATAGGCCTATTTACATGATAAATCCATTTAAATGATAAATATATAGTGGAGTAGTTATATGAGGAGTAAAAAGGGCAGACCAGATTAAAAATGGGTATTGTTGCATCATTTTGATTTGTTAATTTATTTCAGTACTAAAAGAAGCGTTTCACACGTGCTCCATTCCCTTTAGCAGGCCTTCCTGGAAGGTTGGTCTGATCTCTGCTTCCCATTATGACTTGGTGAATAATTATTGAGCGTAATGGAGGTTTCGTTCCCAAAACCGACTCAGGTTGGCTTCTGCTCTTGTCTTGCAGAAGGGGCTTGTATGAGTGACAGCTTGGTGACTGCGAGGGAGGTTAATTGCTAGCTCTGCTATATTGTACTTACAGATGTGCATTTAATTTCCATTTCCCTGTCTGCAAGTGAGGAAAATGAAAAATGGGGTATGAGATGCCTGCAGCATTTCGGTACCAACTCAGGGCCCTATCTGCTGAGCCTCACCTTCGCCATACTGATCAAGCGAGGGAGAGATAGGATTCTTTTGTCTGAGCTATAAAAATTTCGGTACTTCTGCTTCGCATTTCTAGTGTTTTTTCTTGAATATAGAGCATTCCACCTCTATACTGTGCAACACAGAAACCTTGTGAGAATAGCAGAGATATTTAGGGACCAGTTCTCAGGAAGCTCAGTTACTTGAGTAAGAAGGTAAGGCCTTGCAGTACATCTAAGGCCGTGCCTGAGAAGAAGAAATTCTGGCTTTTGTTGTTCCATGGCATTTACCCGAAAGGGTGTCCCAATGTTAGTGCATCAAGGGGGTGTGTGGCTCCAAGCAACTATGGTGCCGGCCCCGCAGAGAAGATCTCTAACAGGTTCTTTGACTTCTCATTCAGCTCACCACCATGTTCGAGAGGCTGAGTATGAACAACCGGCAGCTGGAAGAAGAGATGAGAGACCTGGCGGATAAAAAGGAGTCCGTGGCCCACTGGGAGGCCCAGATCACTGAGATCATCCAGTGGTGAGTGCCCAGCTCTAGCCTCATTGCAGAAGCCCTCGGCCAAGGCCAGTGTGTGGTAGGGCTGCCCTGAATGAAGCTTGCGTGTGGCGCTCGCGAGTGCTCACACCCATCCAGGATCCGGCTGTCTTCTTACCTGGGATTTTAGGAATGCCTGAAGGTAGAAACCCACGTTCCTCTTTAAGAGTAAAAGTGTTTTTTCAAATGCAACTGTTTGAAGGGCAAAGGCCCTGGGCTTGGGTGCGGCTGTGGCTTTGGCAGAGGGCGGCAGGAGCCAGAATCAGGCACTGCCCTCGCGCTCCCGCCGTGGCCTGGGAAGAGCAGCACGGGCTCTGCATGGGGCTCGCTGCTCCCTTCAGCTGAACGACACCCAGCTAGGGCAAGCTTCATGTGATTCCCACAAGGAGAGCATTGGAAGCTGACAAAATTCCAGTCAAGTGATGTTGGCAATAACACTTCTGTTAAATAGTGAGAAGATGTTTGTAAGGGTTTCTCTCCAGTTTGAATAAATACATTGAGAAGAGAATAACAAGCTGAAAATATTAAGAGAAGATTATTTTTTCAGGGTGGTTGCTATTTTTCCTCTCCACTCCTGCTTCTCTCCCCTCCTTTATGGCTCAGTGTCACGTTTAACTTCTGTGGAAAGAGTCTGTATTCAGAGATTTTCGTACAGATCTTTCACTTCTGGGAAGATTTCATAATCATAAATTAATCTATTTTTTTTTGGTTTCCTACTGTTTTTTTTCCTCCCGTTTTCCTGTCTCTCCCAAGCTAAATACTTGGATGCAACAAGCTAGATTAAAAATAGGAAACATGCTTTTTAAAGAATTCTAGTTGGGCATTGTTCTAATGTCAGTATAATCTTGTTGTCCAAATATGGAGAAATCTTTAGCTTTTGCATAAAAACTTTGATGCATATCAAGAAAGGCAGGCTGAGCTCTGGGTTTCTGGAAGTGTTTTAAACAGTGTTTGTTACATAAAATTATATAGCTCCAAAATGTGTTAGCAAGTCCATAGTGTCTCAGTACATTTTATTTGTAGTAGAAGTATTCGTAGTAGAGGTCAGAGTAGAAATTTAAAAGGCATGATTTGTATATGTTTCTTTTAAATTTTTTCCCCTCATACAACTGTAAGTGTAGTGGACTGCCTGTATCGCTGAAATTAAAAAAAAAAAACGCTGAAGTTGTTCAAAAAAAGAGATAATTTGTAATTCATCAGAAATTTTTAAATACTCAGAGGAATAAAATCCAGATAACGAGAAAGATAAGTCTGTCATTTCACATTCCTTATGATTGCCAGGGATTTTTTGATTGCTTTAAGGAAATGCTTGTCTGTCTAAATGCACCAAGGTAACTAAACTCCATTTTTCAGATTTACATGTGAAAGCACTCATGAAACTGGAAGGTCTGGAAAAAGCCAAGACAGCCTTAGTTGTGGATTGCTTTACTTGGCACTAAGTAAAAATATACCAACAGCTTTAAGACAGCCCCTTCTCCAATTTTTATGAGGGTTTAGTATTTTAAGAATGTAATACTGATGTGGTTCACATATATAATAAAGTATCTTGCGTATAATCAGACACAAGACATCAGAATGTCTGGGGGATGGAGAAGAAGGCTTGGGATTGGAGTTTTTGTTATCCCTAAAGACGCTTAATGAAAAAGAGTTGGGAAGTGAAGTCTGTAACTTTCATAACTAAAGATAACACTTTTGTTGGTCTTGTTATAAAATAGGACTAAAAACTCAAGAATTACATTAAGAAATGTTCCCAGCAAACCATTAAGGAGACAAAAGCCACACAGAATTTTTCTAATTGCTGTACACATCTCATTTTCCTCCATAATTCTATCTGCCCATGTTAAATTTTGTTCAGTGGTGAGAAGCCATATTCTGGCTCAATTTTTTTTTTCCAAAGTTTAAATTTTGCTTTTGATGCCCAGATACTGTGGCAATTACATCTGCTATCCATTTGTTCAGTCCTGCATACCGAAAGTAGGTCTTGACTTGGGTTTTCTTGCTATTGAACAAGGGGCACTATATTAAGGTTTTTAAACATCCATAACAGTGATAAATATTGTAATAGAATATATATATATATGTATAACCTTAAACTAATCTTAATTTAGCAGTTACCAGCCTTTGTTTTCTTAAGAAAAATATGCCATTTAAACCCGCACATCATCTTTATGACACCTTAATGTCCATGCTCTGACACGTTAGGGTAGAGCTTTTACTCTCCAAATCTTAAAGAGGTTTTCCATTAAAGTATTATTTTAAGAGTGTTATATTTTGGGAGCATACTTACTACTTCTTAAAAATGATTTTAGTCTGCCATCTTTTTTTGGAACTCTGAGTCTGGAAGCATAGAAAATTGTAGATAAAATTAATTGCCTGGTTTTCCTCAGCAACCTGTGCAAGTTCAGGTGTTTATTCTAGTCCTATTTTAAGCAGGAGAAGTCTAAGGAGTTCATTATTTCCTTTGAGCATTTTGTCATAGTCTTTTAGATCCCTCTCTTAGGAAACCTTCCCCATCGCTCGAGTCCACATTTCAGGTTTAGGTCATTGCGTCTTTCACAGAAGGTATTCCCTGAGCCTTTTTAAACTACTCTTTCTTTTAGATTTTATAAAATGCAAGTGATTTTCATGGATTATCACGATCCCATTAGCCTCTCCCTGCTTTTCTGTTGTGCTCTTTTGCATCTTGTTTATGGCAAGCATCCAAAAGCTTTTTTATTTTTGATATTATCATCCCAAGCGACCATAAATATAGGCAACTTTTTAATATGTACTTGAATCAAAAATTCATTCTGAATTTGAATGTGGTAGCAGTAGATTCTCACAGATCGTTCAGTCTTAATGGAGCTATTAGATTGACAAGCTTATATTATCCAAACTACTCATCAATCGTTGACAAGAATAAGAAATATTGAGGCTTATATAGCCAGCTGTAAATTTTCATATGGCAGATAGGGAAAAGATTCATTGCATACTAGGTTAATGCAATTGCTAAAAAAATGAGTCTTTCAGCCATGGTACTGTATTTCAGATCTACTGCAGAAAGGAGGTCAATGGAAACCTTTGGTAGTGATTCCCAGATTATTTGGCAAGAAACTTAACTTGTTAGCCTCTCTGAGTGGGATTCATTTAACCTAACGTTAGAATGGTTCCTACAGTAGTCAGCTAAGATAAATCAGATGACTAGTCCTATAGGAATCTCTGTTTCCAGTGCCTATAAAGGAAGCTTAGACACTTAGATTGAATGAAGAGTTCTGTTTTGTTGGATTCATACAGATGGATGAGGGGATTTCCCCCCCTTCATTTATCTGTAATGGGGGTATCTGTAATGGGGGGGAGGGTCTGTAATGGAGGTAATGTCCATAGAGTGGGCATCATGTTTCTGTTCAACTGTCAGTACTCAGAAGTTTCAGCTAATTCTCTCCTTACAGTCTAGTGTCTTTCCAGCCAACTGTAGTAGAATCATCGTAGAATGCTTAAGGTTGGAAGGGACCTCTAGAGATCATCTAGTCCAACCCCCCTGAACATGCAGGGTCACCTAGAGCACGTGGCACAACATAGTTGATTTTTATTTTAATTATTGATTTTCTAGAAAAAAAAATCTGTGCTAAATCGAATCTTTAAAAGTCTGAAAGTATGAAAAATTTGAAACCTGATTGCTCTCAGAAGAAAGCAAACAGAAACTGTGGGAAAGACTATAGAGGATAATGGTTTTGAGAATAGTTACATGAAGACAGAAATGTGAAAGCTTTGAGAAACTACATCAGAATGGGAATCATGGACCTCAGGCTTCTCTGAGGTTTTTTAAATCAAGTGAGATGTAGCTTTGTATAGGGTACAAGGGCTTCAGGACCCTTCTTCGCTAGCATAAGATCTGTAGTTCTCTGTGTCCATTTTGTAGTGTAGAAATTTCCCAGATTTAAGACTCAGGAAATCTGATTTTTGTAGCAGCCTGACAAAGAAAATGCCAGATATTTTGTTAATAATTATTTGAAGTTTATCAGGATGCTGGTCACTTTTCCATGCCGTTTTGTTTGGGGAGCGGGTTAATAAATGGAGGGATTAAAAATTTCTTGACAGCTCTAAGAGGTAACATTTAATCATGCAGAAATTTGCAGCTGCTCTGATGAACCAACCTTCTGAAATGCTTCAGTTAAACATGAAAATGGAAGGATTAACCAAATCCTTTTTTGAGGAAAGAAGTAAGTGTCTAAAGGACTATTATTTCTTAGGGCTCTTGGTATGTTTATTAGGACTCTGCGAAGGGAAGCAAGGAAGAAAACATTCATAAAAGTGGCTTTATCATTCTTATTTTATCTTTTAAAATAAACCCAAACAAACAAAAAACACCCAATAAACCATAACAAAACAAAAAGCTCCAGGAACTGCTGGGTTCATGCTGTTTAATCCGCGCGGTATGATTCGCAAGAGAAGGTTGCCATCTAGTGGATGGCAAACCTAAACTGAAGTTAGAGTGTTTATAATTGCCTACTTTTTATTTTCTATAATGTTCTGTGAAAGATTTCTGTGAGGTTTTGCATTTGCAGCTTTTCAATAGTTAGAGCTTGAAAGTTCTGTGCCTTATAAACCAAACACCTGAAATGATTCCTCAGCTTCCACAAGGAAAGGTATATATGCCATGAAATTGGACACTTAGTGATTTTTCAGCTTTAAATAGAAAAGCATTTCAAGAGGTTCTGGCTTAGTTTTAATTTGACATTGTTCCTTTCTTCTGCAAAGATTGTATGTCATTAAAAATCGTAATCAGAAAAACACTGATTTCTAAGATCTTTTCTGGTTTTGTACTTGGAAAAAACTCACACTCTCACATTCAAAGCCTCACACTCTTTTTATTCCTATTTATACTCTATTTTCTTTTAATTATGCCTTTCATTATACTCTTCCCACTGCATTTGTGCTACTTCTCACGTCTCTTTCCCCTCTTCTAATTTTCATAGCAGTCATACTTCCAATGGTTTGCATTTGAACATAGGATAAAATCTTCTTTATGTGCTCGTTAAAATGTGTTTGACCCAGAATGCTATGGGGGAAAAAAAAAAGCTTATATGGTACTTTTATTGGGCTTTCATTTTTTCCCCTTTTACCTCAGGCAAAAATACAGGCTTATTCATATCAAAATTCTCATAGTCTTTAATAGAAGCAGCGCATGGTTCTCTTCTAGGTTTCTCCCCACCCCTTGTAAACAGGAGGTAAAGAAGGTAATGTCCAAATTATTAAAGAACTGGTTTTTTGTTTGTTTGTTTAAGTTCGGGTCAGGGTTCTGTGTTTGCCTTAGCCTCCTGTACATGAAAGCAGTTTTCCTTCTATAAGTCTTAAACTTTGTGCAAGTCTTAAAACTCCCTATGCAGAAGTCACTGCAAGTTGCCAGTGTTCAACCCGTGGCTCTTGCAGCATGGTCTT